AAATAGTTTCATGGATTTAAAATAATGTGAATTGTAAAACTCTAAGCCAATATAATAAAATAACCAACCTTTTATTTAAAATAACACCCAAAAAATGTTCTTTCCTATTTTTTATTTTAATCTGATTTTAATCCGTGATATGGCAAAAAAATAAATAAAAAATGTAAAAAAAAATTAAAATAAAAAATGTAAAACAAAAGAAATTATGAAAAAAAAGTGTAAAAAAAGTTTGGGGGGGTCTTTTACAAACGCTAGCAACAGTTGAAAATCAAATCAATAGGAAAAAATTTCAAAAATGGCTTGGCCAGCTGATTTGAAAAATGTTCCGGAGGGCTTGGCAGCGAAAGGGTTAAACTATTTATTTATTTATTTTACTTTATTGCTGGGAGCACTAGCTAGCCTGCATTGGATATTTCAAATTGCAATAGCATGGGGGCAGCGCAGGCACGGGGGGGAAAGAGAAGGACCGGGGCAGCAGCGGAGGTACAGGGGGGGGCAGCGGGGAATGCAGTCACAGCAGTCTCTCCTCCCCGCTGGTGGCGGCTACAGTGGTCTGTGTCCCAGCTGCCTCTCCCAAAACAGGCGGGGAGAGGAGGGGGGAAAGAAGCAGGGATTGAAAGGGACACAGACCGCTGCAGCCAGCACCAGCAGGGAGGAGAACGGAGGAGCAGAGCGGCGGCAAATAATCGATGATGAGAATCGTTGCCAACAATTCTCATCGATTATAATCGATTAGTTGTTGCAGCCCTAAACATATTTATCCTTCTCCCTTTAAAGGCAAGTATAGCAGGCGCAGTAGCCCACTGGGATAGCAGGAATAGGAGATAGCAGCCCCACAAGGTGCCATGACGACCCTCAGAGTGCTACAGTCACCACAAAAAAAGTCAGGCGGAGCCAGAGTGATGCTGAGGACCAATGCTCACCGCCAAAGACCACGAAGAAATAGTAAAGGCAGCAGAACAGTGTGCAGCAGCAGAGAAACAGTCAAAAAGCAGACAAACTTTCACAGTTCAAAGCTCAGTTGCAGCTATAGCACAAGGCAGCAGAGGACACCAGAAGCAACTCTAGAATACTATCACCAGCTCATCAACCCCGATGACAACAAGACACAGTGGGATACTATCACTGGCACAGCAGAACATTAGGCAACGTGAGGTAGCGGGTCGGAGAGCAGCAGGAAATCTCAGAAGGCAGTTACCATACAGGCTGTATTCAGTATCGGTATTCAGACGGGTGCAGAAATGTTGGCAGGACAGAGTACACGCACGCATCTACCTCTTCGGGCGCTGGAACTGGAAGTCGACACCTCCAGTGTAACAAGACTTCTAGTTAATTGCTGACATATGCCAATCCAGCTATGAGCAGTTTGAGTCTACGTCTGCAACACTTCTGATATTCTGGTAACCGTAACCCCAACTCATCTCTAGACCTCATCTTGCCTGCTGCTCTGTACTGCATTGTCCACACGGCTCTGACCTCGGCTCTTCTCTTGACCACAATTCCGCTTGCTGTATTGGTACCTCGCTGCTCGCATGTTGCTGACCCAGCCTGTCTGATGTTCATTCAGCCTGCCCTGCTTCCTTGCTGTACATGTCCTGACCAGCCATCCAAAGAAGTCCAACATTCTTCTTCTGCAACTACGCCTTCTGGCACTCGTGCCCCAATTAACCTGTTCCATCATCCAGGGGTTTTGGGACTAGAGTTGCATGCTCTGAAACTGATTTCAAGTATGTAGGACCCATCAATAAATTTAGCTATAAGGGCCTACTATAAGATCAAAACATGATATGTTTTTCCAAACCAATGTTTTAAAGTGACAACAAGTAAAACCAGTATACTGCAAAACTGCAATGGAGCGGTCAGAAATGTCACTAATGTTATTTTTAACTGCGTTTACTGCAGTCTGTAGTTTTCATATCATCCCCTGAAGACAGATTCACCACATGTGGGTTGAGTGGTTCGCTTTCCTATGAATTATACTAGGTCACTTCCACTCATTGCTATATCACTAATCAACTTCAAACTACCAAAGCATGTTTGCATGTAATTGGTGGCTGAAACATCTTAGCACTTGCTGTCATGGTACAGCCAAAAAATCTAATATTTTTTGGCTTCTTGTCATAAAACATTCTGAAAGTTAACTTAGTTCTTCCACGAATACAGTTCCTACAAGTTAATTAACAATCTACATAAACATGTTTAGCTGTACAGTATAGTGTCAATTGAAGCAAATGTGGGTTTGTTGTGCTTCCCCAGCAGGGGACCACAGCATAGTGTGTTCTTTCCTAGATGCTGTAGGCAAGTTGTCTCCATGCCTGTTAATCACTGAAATGTAAAATGTTTTGTGTTTTTTTTTTAATGTTCAAAGTGTCTAAAAAAGGGTCATATTTCATAACTGCTGTCCCGTGCAACATATGATTATAGAACCTTCAGGGAAAAGAGTGGTGGCACAAAGACAAGCTGCCTGACACTAAACATGAGGGTTTTATGATGCAATATGGTGGATTTCTGATAAGTGGGTCTCTTTATAGTATTTCCCGTTCCGTTAGCCAGAGAGTGCTGGAGTTTGGACGCTATGTATAGCAGAACAATAGCTGGAACCAAACCCATCGCTTTTCGACCCATAATTCATAATTGAAAATAGTTATGAGGGTTCAAAGATGGTCAGTAGAAATATGATACCTTAGACCCAGGTGAAAATATGCAGCCTCTAGCCCCTTGCATCTGATTGGCTGTCTCAGTGGGTGGCAACTTGTTTGGATCCCCACAGTATAATAATGGTGATCTGAAACCAAGAAAAAGTCACATACAAAGGGTGTGCACGTTATTTTTATCCAACCCCGGGAAACTGGATTAGTCGTCATTTCTGTAAGTTTGTCCCTTTTTATTTTTATACTGTTTGCTTGTATGTATGTCTCATTGTTATAACTTTTTTTTTTTTCATTTTTTGCACCCATGTTATATTCTACATTGTAGGCCTGCAAATTACTTAAAACCCCCAAACATTATATCTTTTCTGAAAGCCAAGACCCTATAGAATAAAATGGTGGCAGTTGCAAATTCTTATGTTGCACAATATTAGCTCAACTCCTTATTGGAGTTTAGTACCCCAAAAAGTCCCGACGCTTTAAAAGCTGTCACAGGTCATCAGTTTAGAGATGCCCTAGAGATATTGCTCTCACTCCGGTGTTTGTCGTTTTCATACGTAGGCACACCCGACGCGTGTTTACGTGAAGACGCACATGCTCGCGGGGGCTGGGGACTTTTAAAATGTTTTTAATAATTTTTACATTTATTTTATATGTTAATTTTAAAAACTGGTTTTTGTTTTTTTTACTTTACTTTAATTGCTATCACATGTGATGTGATAGCAGATGGTGGTGACAGGTACTCTTTAAGGTGATGCTGGGGATCCAGAAGACCCCCAGTGTCACCTTTACACTCTCAATAAGCTATTGAAGTGTCGATTGAACTTCAATAGCTTATAGCTGGGCTTCAGGAGCCCAGCACTGACACCTATGGGACTGGAAGTGATGCAATCTGCATCGCTCCCGGTCCCATAGAACGGGGAGGAAATCGCCGAACGGAGGTTTGTCCATCTCCTGCCCAGCTTCCCGCCGACACCAAAGAAGCCGGTCCTGGGCACGTAAGAGGGGCAACGGAGCCCGGGAAACATGGCGGGGGTGTTCACCAGCCCGTATAAGCGATCTGGCGGCAGCTGAGCCGCCGGAATCACTTCTACTGTAAAGCCGCCGTTTGGTTTACAAGTTTAAACAGAGCCTGTTTAAACAGCCCCGATGCCAGCGACATACACTATACGTCGCTGGTCGTGAAGGGGTTAATAAGGTGTTTTGTGTTTTTATTTATTACTCTAAAGAACGCATGAATCTGAAGAGACTGTTGTGTGTCTATTGTATGTGTATAGTCGATGGTATCACCAGTGCCTATAAGCTTGGTTATATGTAATTTCCAGGTAGGGATGTGTTTGTGTGTGTTGGCAGTGGAAGAAGTGGTTATGCCAAGATTCTAGCTCAGAGGATAGCATGGTGAATCTTAGGGGGTGTGAGAGAACCACTTAGGCTGCCACACAACCATTAGAGTACACTAAATTGTGTGCAAGATTGGCATCTGCCTGTGTGTGTCCAGCCAGCTTGAGTTAGGGGAGTCTCCCTCCAGTGATGATCAGTGGTAATGCAGGAGACTTGAGGTAATACGGTAGTGCCTGGTTTAGCTCGCCTGTACTAGTGAGAACAGTGTGCATGGTCTTCGAATCCTGTGTGCCAGGAGGACAGGCGAAGGACAGTGATAGCCCGTACATCGTCTGGCCTTCCCACGTCCCCATACCCCCTCAGCACCATGCCCCGGTCCGCTGTCCGTGACACTTACTCTTTGATGTATTGGGCTCTCTGTTTGTGAAAGAAAACAAGGACACTTTAGTTGGCTTGCTGGAGAATTCCTCTCCAACATTACAAAAGTTGTTAACAAAATCATTTCCCAGATCACAAGACAAAAAAACAAAATCATTTCCCAGATCACAAGACAAAAAAAAAAAAAAAAGAAGTGAGATACAGGTAATCAAATCAGGGTTAATTGTACAGATTGCTTTAGCATTGTATTTCTCACTCTGGAGCTCACTATTGCAGCTGTGAGCTTGTTGCAACCCTTTTAATATCATGACATGTGGTACACATCATTGGCAGCAAAAGGGTTAAGATTCTGTTACGTGCAAATAAGGCTTTAGCCTTAATAGTATAAATGCAATAGTATATAGTAAAATAGTATAAAATGCATGTATTCTGAAGCCAATTATCCTGCTAATTAAAATCCACTTCAAATAATATTTCAGTTTGAGCGTTCACTAATCTGTCACATGTAATCCAGTTTAGGAGAACAATCAGTTGTAGCAGAAATAGACATCTAGGACAGTAAATTAGAGCATTTCATGCATGAAGTGCGTGTCACACAGAATCAAGTCTTACTCTGACTTTTTACCTTCACAGGATGATGGGAGAAGGTGAATATGTGGATGCAAGTAGGCTCCGCTGGAAAGGATCTTTTTACAACAAAGCAGCACCAGGACTGAAGCTAAAGCTGAAAATGTAAATGAACACAAGATTTATAGAGAATAGAAGACCTTTATTTCATGATGCTGTACAACATTTTACAGGGCATTCCATCAATAAAAATTTTTAAGATTGGACTGTTAAGGTTGGGTTTGCAGAATGACATAGACCAACCCTGCACAGCCTTGATATGCACAAACAATGTAACCAAATCAAACATCTTAACAACTGATCAACTGGGCCTGTATTTGTAAAAGCTGAATTCCAGGAAATATCTAAATACACAGAGGAATACCTTTAAAAAAATATGTTTTCGCTACGGGATGGTTTGCAGTTCTAGCCATTCAATCTTGAGATTTACACAGCCTTGCCAAACAGCACAGCCAGGAGCAGGACTCACATTTCTCTATTAAAGTATAGGAATGTACTGCTGACACCTTCCTGCCCCACATCTGTTGATTGAACAGTGAAGGAGCAGCAGCAGACTAATGAAGTGATCTTTCTACTTTTATCCTGGAAACTTGCTTGTCAGTATATTTGCATGCATCACACCTGATTGTTTCTTATGCAGCCCCTTCCTCTCCTTGTCTGGGTGTCCTAGTACTGCTGTGCAGTGGGTTGCAGCAGGCTAATATTAAGTGACGTTCACCTACTTACATTAGTTTCTTTTTGAAGAGACTTAAAGTTTAGGAATAATGAGAAGTGCTTGTTGGCATGAAGTGCAGGTACCCAGAGGCACCTGCAACAGGTTTCAGTAGTTTCTGGTTTGCCTGAATGCAAGGCTGTTGTGATTAGGCAAACCTTCAGCCCTGTGGGGGCAAGGCTTAGCAGCAAGCACTAACAGGTGTCAAAGCTTTGCCTGATCAGAACAGTCCAACATTCAGGGCCCATTCACACCAGATCCAGATTACCTCCAGACCAGACTGTTTCCGGACCCAAAATGCATCCTAATGTATCCCTATGCTATTACTGGCCTCTGTTCCCACCAGGGCAGTCGCAAATGCACTGGAACGCATCAAATTGCATCAAAAACGCATGGAACGCACCTGTACGACCATTTTAAGGTTAAAAAAAATTCCAATCGCTGTAAAAACGCGGCAAAAACACAATGCACTATGTTCCAGATCTGTTCCGGAAAATGGTGTGAACCCAGCCTTAGACCGGAGGATACTGAAAGCTGCTTCATACGGCATTCCTGTCAACAGCTTTTAGCTGACAGAATATCTTTGAAAAATACATGCAACGATTTATTAGTGATTACAGAGCTGTAATAATTTGTGTCTTTTTATTCTGCCTGGAGTTGAGTTTTAGTTTTTAACTGTGCTTTCAAGTGGTATTCTGATTCCTCTGCAGCAGCTCTACCCAAATGTGTAATACAGCTTTACAAAGCTTGCTTGGTATGTGTTGGAACTGACCATAGAGAATAATAGCCATATTGAAGCAAATCTAAACCCCCCCAAAATGTATTATATAGCAGCTTACTAATCGTTAAATGTGGTGGCTGCATTTGTTTTCTTTTTAGGCTTTTTTTCCCTTTATTTTCACCTGGTGATCTGGCCAGTACCAAACTTCCTGTCTCAGGGTGGCTCCAATCCACTGGCGGAACTACCAGGGTTGCATCGGTCGCACGTGCGACCTGGCCCTGGCGTTCTGCCTCGGCACCTGGCCCCGGTAACCACCAAGGGACTCCTATGATACCATAGGAGTCCCTCGGTGGTTAGATGGATGGGGAAGGGATATCTGGCAGCCTGCTGTCTTGTCATTAGGCTGCGCTCTCCCCCTGGCTAGCTCTCTCTACTCCGCCGGCTCCATATGAGAAGAACACAGCCGGTTACTGTCAAGATGATGACTGCCGCTGATGCCAGTGGAGGATGTGGCACTGACACGCTGAGGGGAGGAGCAGGGGCTGTGTGAAGGTCTGAGGTCATGGCTGAGGAGAGAAGTAAGCAAAAGTTGTGAGGTGGTGTGAAGAAAGGTGCCTCCTTGTGTGTGACAAATTAATCTATAGCAGCCCAAAACTGCTCAGCTGATATAAGTTATGAGGTTGTCACACACAAGGAGGCACCGTGCACTACCACTGGTGGAACTACCAGGGTCACAGCGGTCGCATGTGCTACCGGGCCCTGGATTTCTGCTACTGGGGGGGGGGGGGGGGGAGGGGGGGGCCCTGAGAG